AAACAAACGGGTTGAATACATGACACTTTGTTTATGTATAACAACTTCTTTTATTCTTTGTACGACGTTTTGTACGACGTTTTGTACGACGTTTCAGAGCTACTCCCTGCTCCTTCAATCAAGTTCAATCAGGTGAATTGTACTCATGTTCTCCCAATTTCTATGCCTATCAAAGTTCTTAAACGAGTGGATGTTGTTTATCGTGCAATAAAACAGGAGTGCTGCTGTGCGGCGTCAGGCAACTACTTACGTTTTTATGTAAATTGTGTGAGTGGTGGGTGCTTCCGACAGGGCAGGAGATGCTCACCCTTTTCGAGAACACCTGGAGTCATCACTGATTTTCTCTGGTTCATTCACATAATTTTCACCTATATTTTGCTGTTTCGGTGGATAATCTGGACTGGTTATTCTCTAGCATTGACATTTTATGTTTAAGTGTGAGGTCGTGGCATATCTCTTGACTGGTTAGAATTGGTTCCCATTTGCAACACTGGGTCATGCTCGTTTAAGAGGCGAATAAAATGAATGGTCAGGTTCTGTGATGGCATGGGATGCCGCTTCTATCAACCACTGTTAATTTCTGGTGCAGGCTCGATATGGTATGGAAGCATGGTTGACTGCGGCGTTAAAAATCATCATCTCGCTTAGTTATCTCACTTAACCGGGAGAATAACACTCGTTCATGGGCAATGCCATGATTGTGGTTTCAGCGCTCGGTTTTGTGGAACGGATCCTGTGTTGTAGTGGTGGTATTGGCTGGGCCGATGCGACTCGTAAACGAGTGCGCCAGATACGTGTTATCTGCTGGACCTATGGACCCGTACCGATAAAGCCACAGTGAACAGGACACATTTCCTGCCTCGGCTGATTAGAGACCATCAGCCAGATGATACAATCTGCTTCATCTAACAGTGCAGGTTGAGGGTTCGACAGTGTGCGTGTCCCACTCCGGCTATGTACACATTCAACATGGAACACTGATACGGATGCTGATAGTTTGAACTCCGGATTAATTCGCGAGGTCACAATGCGTGTATACATATATGAAGCATTATGAATAATGCCCACACCACCATCAGCAGCATTCAAAGTCCACTCTCGTCCAGTCAGATTCAACTTCTTCATGCATAGTCAGCGTTTCATAGTTTATTACTCGTTTCGGGGCGGTCGGGTAGCTTAGTGGTTAAGGCGTTCGCTCGTCACGCCGAAGACCCGCGTCGATTTCCGACATGGGTACTATATGTGAAGCCCATTTCTGGTGTCCCCCGCCGTGATATTGCTGGAATATTGCTAAAAGCGGCGTAAAACCATACTCACTCACTATTACTCGGTTCATGGACCCGACGAAACAAAATTACATCAAAGTAGAAAAATAGATCCGTCCTTTTTTTCTCTCGCGCCAACTAGGCTAACTATTTCAATCAATCAATCAAGTTTATTTCGTAATTCAGGCCACATGGCCCATAGTACAGTTGTAAAATAAATAATAATTTAGGTCACATGTCCAGAGTGTTACATCTCTGTCGAATAATTTACATAAATATAAAGCTGTCAAGCGTAGTACAATAATATCACATGATTTAAATAAATTTGCAAACGTAATATTACCTTTATAATCTTTCTGTAATGAGGTAAAAAAAAGTATTTCTCAAGTGAATGTATTTCTTTAAAAAAGTAGACCACTCTAAACTCTGGTACCATGATTGGAAATATACAAAATAAACATGTTCTAATCATCAACATTTGGAATAACCATACATACGCTAAACCGCTATTAAATAACACTTGTCTCACATACGATGCCCAATTGACTTTTCCATTCTCATCTAATACTTTAAGCATGACATAACTTTGGAAGGGGTGTCGACTGGCATTCATTCGGATAAGCTTAATCCAGTACTTAATTACCCTTATTTGCGTATTTATAAATATACAATAACGTCCAGTTTCACCCAGAATAGCGTTTAAAATAGCATGTTTGAATCTTTTCGATTGTTTCAAAATATTTAATTCCCCATATTTCCGAACCACACATCAATATTGGAGCGATTTTACTGTCACAAATATTACAAGCAGTCGAGAAATCTATACATCTGTTATTGCAGTCCAACAAAGGAAAAACTGGCCCTATTGCAAGGCAAGAGTTTCACATGCTTCAGTCCATATTAACCGTCAGGAGAACATAATTCCAAGATATTTATAGTACGCTACCGTCTTTATCTTCACATTAACCAGTGTCCATGCTTTATACTTACCTATTATCCCCACAGTTCTAAATACAATAACATTTGATTTATCAAGATTTACACAAAATTCCTATTTCAAACTATATGTATTTCAAACATCTAGGTGTCTCTGCAAGCCCCGAACAGTATACGAGAAAAGTACAACGTCAGATCTTCAATATTTTGGGTAACAAATATACATAAAAAATATATATAAAAAAAATTATCATTGAAAGTATGAAAAAAATACTTTTTCTTGTATTTCAATTAAACTTTTAACTGAATTAAGAACGTAGCCTAACAATTATCTTTTCCATTTGTATACAGCGAGACAACGTTGCCTGACACAAATGTTGTCATTCAGCTCCAATGATAAACTATATTTATTATATCATGTATAGTGTTGTATAGGTCACCCTGATTGCAACCTCGGCCAAGGAGGGAAAAGTCTGATGTGTGTCCCGGTTAAACCACTGTGCTAACACTTTTAAAATCCAATCCGATAAATATGCAAATGAGGTGACCAAGCAGGAACTACTTTCAGCGGGCTCAGCGCAAGGATGTGGTGTTTACTTCCTCAAAACATTGCATAACGTTCCATAAATCATTAAATAGCGATTTCCCGAGGTGTAAATAAAGTGACAAACCCCTTTCCATATCCAATAGAAATCTCTGCATAAAGAAGAGTCGATTGTACGATTCCGACTATATCATGAGCATGTGTATAAGAATCACAATCAAATAGTAATGGTACCAGGTGTTCGCGAAAAGGTGATCGTATCCTGCCCCACAGGTGGCACCCGTCACAAACACATACAAAGGCAAGTCAATTGTTCACCTAAAAAAACACGGGAACAAATGGTAAGTAAACAAACATGGCTGAAAATAATTTGGCATTTTAACTGAGGCGGTTCACTCACGTTCTATATTCATACGCGTTGTTTGTGTGTGTGATTTATATCTGGAAGTCACGATTTGATAAATAACCCTTACAAGACTTCCTTGGCGGAGGTTACGAGGGCTTTTCTGTTCTGTTAGTAAAAACTAGTTTCCATTTAATAGGAAGAGGAAAGAAGAACAGAGGAAATTGGGTTTAACGATAGGATCCAAGATTATTGTGTGTGTGTGTGTGTGTGTGTGTGTGTGTGTGTGTGTGTGTGCGTGCGAGCGTGCGTGCGTGCGTGTGTGTGTGTGTGTGTGCGTGCGTGCGTGTATGTGTGTGTGTGTGTGTATGTGTGGCTGCTTGTACTAGTCCGGACTGATGCCGAATTATAGTGCTAGCTCCCTGAGATACCAGGGGCGGTCGGGTAGCCTAGTGGTTAAAGCGTTCGCTCGTCACGCCGAAGACCTGGGTTCGATTCCCGACATGGGTACAATGTGTGAAACCCATTTCTGGTGTCCCCCGCCGTGATATTGCTGGAATATTGCTAAAAGCGGCATAAAACCATACATACTCACTCACTCACTCACTGAGATATCATGCCGCAGTTTAACATTGATACCCCACTCAGGCACAGTATTAAAGAAGTTGTTATCCATAAATTGTGTCTACCTTGTCATCCGTCAATTTCTAAGTAATGCCTATCAAACAGTTTATCCGTCGTCTACATGGAGACGTGGCAATCAACACCACTCTTGCTTGACAACGGTATAAGGATCTATACCGAAACGTCGCGTTTTACAGTATTAAAGAAGCTGTTATCCATAAATTGTGTCTACCTTGTTAACCCATCTGCCTATTTTGTGTAGAAATTAATTTATTGTAATAATTCTGTGTGCTTATATTAAAGATACGCGTTTTATTGTCAATTGTTGCTTCTTGAGTGAATTCAAACCATCTGGATAAGTGTTCACTTGGTTCAGAGTTTCGAGGTTTAATTTTGAAGTAGTTTAGATTTCAACTGTTAGTTTCCTGAAACAGTTTATACACAGATTTACAGATTTACTGTCGCCTGTGTCGCAAAGACGCGGTTCGAATAGGTTAAACACATTTCCAGTGTTTTCGTGTTATTTCCAAGTTGCGTCTATCCATTTCCCCGGGATGTGCTCTTTAAGTCCAAAGTATAACAGAAAAGTCCCTTTCGGTTTATATTCTCTTCTTATCTCTACAAATGTTTTGAAATTACCGTTTGGTTTAAAGGGTCTCTCATTGTTTGAATACCTTGTTTATACCAGCTTACAAAAATACTCTATATCTTTCAATGATATCTACCTTTTAAAATTAAAATCACATATTTCCTGAATGTTGAAAATGTTATACCTAAATTCGTTAAAGATTATTTTGACCAGCATAGTTTTGGAAAAAAAGGTATTCGTTGGAACCTTTCATTAATCCTTTCCATATCGCTTTGGTCTATTCACAATTTATCTTTTAACCTGAGCAAGTAGCAAATTGCTTTAATATGGTTCAGACAAACTCTTTTCCGAGCCATCATGTGTATACGTTTTATCATGAGCATAAAAAAGTCTGATATGCTAACACTTTTATCAGCAAGTATTTAATCATTTTTATTGGAGAAGGCTCGAAATTAAATGCTTCGAGAGCGTTATCAATAAATTCCCTTTCGACAGGGAAATAATTATTTTTCACCTTATCAGGTTTTCCTTTCCAAACAAATCTGAAACATGGTTTATAGGTTACTATAGTGAATCGTAATTGGGTGTTCTCAGCCAGTTCAAACTGAAATTTTGGGAGTTAAGGTTTGCAGCGTGTTGCGACTGTTTTCAGCCTAGTAACGTTTTGATAACGTTTTTATTTTTTTATTACCGTTGCAGGAGTCCACGTTAAACAGGATTCTATACACTTGGAAGATCACGGGCTTACCTCCAATGGCAGTAATTTCAAATAAAGGTAGGTTCTTAGACGGATAGCCATATATATATATATATATATATATATGTGTCATTCATAACAACGGAGTTCGAAACGTATTTTAAATATCACTTCAGTGTTATGTCCAGATACGAGGGCAGGTCGAAAAGTTCCATGGACAACAAGCAAAACCAACAATTGTGAAAGAGTTTTTAACTTTATTTTTCAACATCATCACCCTGCTTTTCAATACACTTCTCATATCGATAGTGAAGCTTTTCAATTCCAGTCAGGAAGAAGTTTTCTGAAGCCATCCTGAAATAAACCCTTTCACGGCAGCTTTGAGGTCATCGTTGTCGTCTTAGCGCTTTCCACGAAGGTGTTCATTTAGTTTCGGAAACAGGTGGAAATCACCTGGTGCCAGGTCTGGCGAGTATGGAGGGTTAGGAAGCTCTTCGAGCCCACATTGTCGCACAGCAGCCTTTGCAAGTCGAAATCAGAATTAAGAAACTTTGACACCCAACGAGCAGATATCTTATTCATCTGTAAATGTTCATGAATAATAGTTTCAATGGATCCATGGCTTAGACCTGTGTCTTCCTCAAGTTTACCAATGGTAATACGTCTATCTGACAGTATACGTTTTTCTATCTCCTTGATCGAATCTTCATTGATGGAAGTTGAGGGACGTCCAGACCTAGGGTCATCATCAAGGCTCGTTCTCCCAGCCGTAACCTGCCCAATGTTTATCAGTGGAATAGCTGGGGCATATACCCATATACTTGTGACATGCGGTCATGACTTTCTGGCGGGGGGGGGGGGGGGGGGGGGGGGGTTACTTTTCTCTAAAGTAAAAAACTTGATGACTGTTCGGTACTCGTTCTTTTCCATTTCTGTGTCCATTTGGACCGCTATCACGTTCAACTTGCTGTCACTAATATTCAAACGGCTTCAGCAGACCAAATACACTTGCAATGAACTACTCAAACAATGTACAACATTGACTAGTTAACTTTATTATGGCCCATAGTTGAAAGTTAGTCCGACTTAGAACTTTTGGACCAGCCCGTATATAAGTGCTGGTACTTTTCTTTTTGCACTGATGGCCAAGCTCTGATTATGGTGGTGAGGTGAAATGGAGTTGAACGTCGCGTCCAAGATTATTGCACTTATATAGCGACGTGCATGTACGTGTATGTGTTTGTGTGGCTGCTTGTACTAGCCCGGACTGATGCCGATTTATAGTGCTAGCTCACTGAGATACAATGACCCAGTTTAACATGGATACCCCACTCAGACGCAGTATACTGACTCGGAGCCGACCAGTCCGTGTTTTATCCCCTTAATGCCGAGCGCCAGACAGGGTAACAACAAGTACCATCTTTTAACGTCTTTTGTTATGACGCGGCCGGGGATCGAACCCCGGACCTTCCGCTCTCCGGGCGGACGCTCTACCACTAGACCACGGAGGCGGTCAGCTCTGATTATGAAATAGGTTTGTCAGAACCACATCCGCGCTGATGTTATAACTGAAGTGCTGACTTGCCACCTGTGTCCCGGTAATTTAATTACGTTTTTGCATGTGTATCTTTCTGCATTGAGAACTGACGACACCTCCACAAGTTTGAACAGTGAGGGAATTTTTACTCAAAGAAAAAAATGTCAGCTTTCTAATGCAACTCGGTTTTTTTGTACTTTTGCCAACTCGTTTTGGAAGTTTCAATTTTAATAATTTGATAATTTGATATATATAAAGGTTCGAATCACAGATCTTCACTGAATGATTTAGCTAATTGTATGTCATCGTTCTCATATGATTTGTGACCGCGTTCGTGGTCAAGTGGGCAGAAGGTTTGCCCTGAGAAACAGAAACGTGTATCCGTGGATACACGTGGGAGACTTAGTTAATTGTGTATGCGTGTGTGTGTGTCTATATATGTATTTTAACCGCAAAAGAAACGTCACCCCAAGTAACATTGCATGTAAAGTTGTCAAATTTTTTCAAAGTTTCTAAAATTTGAAATTACCTTGTACGGAAAAATGAAATTTGATGATAAAAAACCCAAAGCAGATGACAATAAAACCGATCTCCCAAACGCATCACGGCAACGGCCATGGTAACCCGATGCACGTGAGTTCCGTGCAAATTGAAATGCACATTTCTTGCCCTATAAAAATCCACCCAGATCTGATAACATTCATTCGTTATTGAATTGCTACCACATGCCAAGATTGAAAAGAAAATAGCGACACCAAGCTGTCGAGTTATTTATCGCTGATCTATAACTCGCTACCTGTTTCACCTGTTCGGGAAATGAAGACGACGCAAATAATCATAATGTGCGAAAACAACATGTTCCTCATGGTTTATACAACAAAAACAACATAAAGGTCACTTGATATACTGGTGATAAGATCGTTCGCTCATCACGCCAAAAGCCTGGGTTCGATTCACCACAGGGGCACAATTTTTTTAAGCCCATTTCTAGTGTCCCCGCTTTAACATTGCTTGAATATTACAAAAAGCAGAGTAAAATCCAACTCACTCACTCATTTGACATACTCGGTAATGTGGGCAGTGTGGGTCACCAACTCACTCACTCACTTGACATACTGGGTGGTATGTGTAGTGTGGGTCACTAACTCACTCACTCACTTGACATACTGGGTGATGTGTGTAGTGTGTGTCACAAACTCACTCACTCGACATACTCGGTGATGTCTGTAGTGTGGGTCACAAACTCACTCACTCACTTGACATACTGGGTGATGTGTGTATTGTGGGTCACCAACTCACTCACTCCTTGACATACTGGGTGTTGTGTGTAGTGTGGGTCACAAACTCACTCACTCGACATACTCGGTGATGTCTGTAGTGTGGGTCACGAACTCACTCACTCACTTGACATACTGGGTGATGTCTGTAGTGTGGGTCACGAACTCACTCACTCCTTGACATACTTGGTGATGTGTGTAGTGTGGGTCACCACCTCACTCACTCACTTGACATACTGGGTGGTTATGTAGTGTGGGTCACTAACTCACTCACTCACTTGACATACTGGGTGATGTGTGTAGTGTGTGTCACAAACTCACTCACTTGACATACTCGGTGATGTGTGTAGTGTGGGTCACCAACTCACTCACTCCTTGACATACTGGGTGTTGTGTGTAGTGTGGGTCACCAGCCAACTCACTCCTTGACATACTTGGTGATGTGTGTATGGTGGGTCACCATCTCACTCACTCCTTGACATACTGGGTGTTGTGTGTAGTGTGGGTCACCAACTCACTCACTCCTTGACATACTTGGTGATGTGTGTAGTGTGTGTCACAAACTCACTCACTTGACATACTGGGTGATGTGTGTAGTGTGGGTCACCAACTCATTCACTCACTTGACATACTGGGTGATGTGTGTAGTGTGGCTCACAAACTCACTCACTCACTTGACATACTGGGTGATGTGTGTAGTGCTGGCCACCAACTCATTCACTCACTTGACATACTCGGTGATGTGTGTAGTGTGGGTCACAAACTCACTCACTCACTTGACATACTGGGTGATGTGTGTAGTGTGTGTCACAAACTCACTCACTCGACATACTCGGTGATGTCTGTAGTGTGGGTCACGAACTCACTCACTCACTTGACATACTGGGTGATGTCTGTAGTGTGGGTCACGAACTCACTCACTCCTTGACATACTGGGTGTTGTGTGTAGTGTGGGTCACCAGCTAACTCACTCCTTAGCATACTTGGTGATGTGTGTAGTGTGGGTCACGAACTCACTAACTCACTTGACATACTGGGTGATGTCTGTAGTGTGGGTCACGAACTCACTCACTCCTTGACATACTGGGTGTTGTGTGTAGTGTGGGTCACCAGCTAACTCACTCCTTGACATACTGGGTGATGTGTGTAGTGTACGTCACCAACTCACTCACTCACTTGACATACTGGGTGATGTGTACATAGTGCTGGTCACAAACTCATTCACTCACTTGACATGCTGGGTGATGTGTGTAGTGTGGTTCACCAACTCATTCACTCACTTGACATACTGGGTGGTATGTGTAGTGTGGGTCACTAACTCACTCACTCACTTGACATACTGGGTGATGCGTGTAGTGTGTGTCACAAACTCACTCACTTGACATACTCGGTGATGTGTGTAGTGTGGGTCACCAACTCACTCACTCCTTGACATACTGGGTGTTGTGTGTAGTGTGGGTCACCAGCCAACTCACTCCTTGACATACTTGGTGATGTGTGTATCGTGGGTCACCACCTCACTCACTCCTTGACATACTGGGTGTTGTGTGTAGTGTGGGTCACCAACTCACTCACTCCTTGACATACTGGGTGATGTGTGTAGTGTGTGTCACAAACTCACTCACTTGACATACTGGGTGATGTGTGTAGTGTGGGTCACCAACTCATTCACTCACTTGACATACTGGGTGATGTGTGTAGTGTGGGTCACAAACTCACTCACTCACTTGACATACTGGGTGATGTGTGTAGTGCTGGCCACCAACTCATTCACTCACTTGACATACTGGGTGATGTGTGTAGTGTGGGTCACAAACTCACTCACTCACTTGACATACTGGGTGATTTGTGTAGTGTGGGACACAGACTCACTCACTCACTTGACATACTGGGTGATGTGTGTAGTGTGGGTCACCAGCTAACTCACTCCTTGACATACTGGGTGATGTGTGTAGTGTGGGTCACAAACTCACTCACTCACTTGACATACTGGCTGATGTGTGTAGTGTGGGTCACCAGCTAACTCACTCCTTGACATACTTGGTGATGTGTGTAGTGTGGGTCACCAACTAACTCCCTCACTTGACATACTGGGTGTTGTGTGTAGTGTGGGTCACCAACTAACTCACTCACTTGACAAACTGGGTGTTGTGTGTAGTGTGGGTCACCAACTAACTCCCTCACTTGACAAACTGGGTGTTGTGTGTAGTGTGGGTCACAAACTAACTCCCTCACTTGACATACTGGGTGTTGTGTGTAGTGTGGGTCACCAGCTAACTCCCTCACTTGACAAACTGGGTGTTGTGTGTAGTGTGGGTCACCAACTAACTCCCTCACTTGACATACTTGGTGATGTGTGTAGTGTGGGTCACCAGCTAACTCACTCCTTGACATACTGGGTGATGTGTGTAGTGTACGTCACCAACTCACTCACTCACTTGACATACTGGGTGATGTGTACATAGTGCTGGTCACCAACTCATTCACTCACTTGACATGCTGGGTGATGTGTGTAGTGTGGTTCACCAACTCATTCACTCACTTGACATACTGGGTGATGTGTGTAGTGTGGGTCACCAACTCATTCACTCACTTGACATACTGGGTGATGTGTAGTGTGGGTCACAAACTCACTCACTCACTTGACATACTGGGTGATGTGTGTAGTGCTGGTCACCAACTCACTCACTCACTTGACATACTGGGTGATTTGTGTAGTGTGGGACACAAACTCACTCACTCACTTTACATACTGGGTGATGTGTGTAGTGTGGGTCACCAGCTAACTCACTCCTTGACATACTGGGTGATGTGTGTAGTGTGGGTCACCAACTCACTCACTCACTTGACATACTGTGTGATGTGTGTAGTGTGGGTCACCAACTCAATCAATCCTTGACATACTGGGTGATGTGTGTGGTGTGGGTCACAAACTCAATCAATCCTTGACATACTGGGTGATGTGTGTAGTGTGGGTCACCAACTCAATCAATCCTTGACATACTGGGTGATGTGTGTGGTGTGGGTCACAAACTCAATCAATCCTTGACGTACTGGGTGATGTGTGTAGTGTAGGTCACAAACTCAATCAATCCTTGACATAATGGGTGATGTGTGTAGTGTGGGTCACAAACTCACTCACTTGACATACTCGGTGATGTGTGTAGTGTGGGTCACCAACTCATTCACTCACTTGACATACTCGGTGATGTGTGTAGTGTGGGTCACAAACTCACTCACTCACTTCACATACTGGGTAATGTGTGTAGTGTGGGTCACAAACTCACTCACTCACTTGACATACTGGGTGATGTGTGTAGTGTGGGTCGCCAACTCACTCGCTCACTTGACATACTGGGTGATGTGTGTAGTGTGGGTCACCACCTCACTCACTTGACATACTCGGTGATGTGTGTAGTGTGGGTCACCAACTCACTCACTCAATTGACATACTTGGTGATGTGTGTAGTGTGGGTCACTAACTCACTCACTCACTTGACATACTTGGTGATGCGTGCAGTGTGGGTCACTAACTCACTCACTCACTTGACATACTCGGTGTTGTGTGTAGTGTGGGTCACCAGCTAACTCACTCACTTGACATGCTGGGTGATGTGTGTAGTGTGGGTAACCACCTCACTCACTCACTTGACATACTGGGTGATGTGCACATAGTGTTGGTCACCAACTCATTCACTCACTTGACATACTGGGTGATGTGTGTAGTGTGGGTCACTAACTCACTCACTCACTTGACATACTTGGTGATGCGTGCAGTGTGGGTCACTAACTCACTCACTCCTTGACATACTCGGTGTTGTGTGTAGTGTGGGTCACCAGCTAACTCACTCACTTGACATGCTGGGTGATGTGTGTAGTGTGGGTAACCACCTCACTCACTCACTTGACATACTGGGTGATGTGCACATAGTGTTGGTCACCAACTCATTCACTCACTTGACATACTGGGTGATGTGTGTAGTGTGGGTCACTAACTCACTCACTCACTTGACATACTTGGTGATGCGTGCAGTGTGGGTCACTAACTCACTCACTCCTTGACATACTCGGTGTTGTGTGTAGTGTGGGTCACCAGCTAACTCACTCACTTGACATGCTGGGTGATGTGTGTAGTGTGGGTCACCACCTCACTCACTCCTTGACATACTCGGTGTTGTGTGTAGTGTGGGTCACCAGCTAACTCACTCACTTGACATGCTGGGTGATGTGTGTAGTGTGGGTAACCACCTCACTCACTCACTTGACATACTGGGTGATGTGCACATAGTGTTGGTCACCAACTCATTCACTCACTTGACATACTGGGTGATGTGTGTAGTGTGGTTCACCAACTCACTCACTCACTTGACATACTGGGTGATGTGTGTAGTGTGGGTCACAAACTCACTCACTCCTTGACATACTGGGTGATGTGTGTAGTGTGGGTCACAAACTCACTCACTCACTTGACATACTGGGTGATGTGTGAAGTGTGGGTCAATAATCCACTCACTCACTTGACATACTGGGTGATGTGTGGTGTGGGTCACAAACTCACTCACTCACTTGACATACTGGGTGTTGTGTGTAGTGTGGGTCACAAACTCACTCACTTGACATACTTGGTGATGTGTGTAGTGCGGGTTACAAACTCACTCACTCACTTGACATACTGGGTGATGTGTGTAGTGTGGGTCACAAACTCACTCACTTGACATACTGGGTGATGTGTGTAGTGTGGGTTACAAACTCACTCACTCACTTGACATACTGGGTGATGTGTGTAGTGTGGGTCACAAACTCACTCACTTGACATACTTGGTGATGTGTGGTGTGGGTCACAAACTCACTCACTCACTTGACATACTGGGTGTTGTGTGTAGTGTGGGTCACAAACTCACTCACTTGACATACTTGGTGATGTGTGTAGTGTGGGTTACAAACTCACTCACTCACTTGACATACTGGGTGATGTGTGTAGTGTGGGTTACAAACTCACTCACTCCTTGACATACTGGGTGATGTGTGTAGTGTTGGTCACAAACTCACTCACTCCTTGACATACTGGGTGATGTGTGTAGTGTGGGTCACAAACTCACTCACTCACTTGACATACTGCGTGATGTGTGTAGTGTGGGTTACAAACTCACTCACTCACTTGACATACTTGGTGATGTGTGTAGTGTGGGTTACCATTTCACTCACTCACTTGACATACTGGGTGATGTGTGTAGTGTGGGTCACAAACTCACTCACTCACTTCACATACTGGGTGATGTGTGTAGTGTGGGTCACAAACTCACTCACTCACTTGACATACTGGGCGATGTGTGTAGTGTGGGTCACCAACTCACTCACTGACTTGACATACTGGGTGTCGTGTGCAGTGTGGGTCACGAACTCACTCACTCACTTGACATACTGGATGTGTGTAGCGTTTGGCGCCTTTTAGAGAAAGAATCTTTTTTAAAGCGCTAACGGAAAGAATATACTGTCTCTAACCAAAAATGCCAGACCCTCCCTGTTATATGATATTAATGATGTTCCATTGTTTCTCCAGAAAAAAATACGTTCATTTTCTATAACTGTGTGAAATATAGACTGCAAAACTCTCCCACCCGCTGATCTGTTCTATTTTGTTCACAGGTTTGAAGTTCTTCCTGTTGGTATGCCTGCTGCTTGTGTGCCTGTTCATGTGGCAGTTCGCGCGGGGGGTGGACCATTCTATTTTTATCAGGGAGGGGCGTTACACCGAACACCGTGACGTCATCAGAGAACACATTGTTCAAGACGTGGAAATTGACAGGCGGAGTATTGTCCTTGCTGCGAGAGAGCTACTCAAGGGGAGGGAAACGGAAGAGCAGCCACAACGTCACGTGATCTGTCCCAACTTCAATGGCGGACTGGGTAATATGCTCTTCCAGTATGCCTCTGCCTACGGAATATCAAGAAGGGTCGGCCTGGACATCCTGGTCAAGGCGGACGCAGAGGTATTCCAAGTGTTTGACGTCTGGGCCAAGGTTTCCAGCGAGAAGACTGTTTGTCCAAAAGCCAAGATAATCAAGGAGAAACACAGTGGTGTTTACGAACACAGCCTTATGTCCATTCGGAATAACGCGGACTACGTAGCCAAAGGCTATCTTCAGTCCTGGAAGTATTTTGAACCTTTCAAGGTTGAAATACGTAAACAGTTGCGATTTAGAGGCGACATTGAGAGAAAGGCCTTCGACATTCTTGACTCATCATTAAGTGAAAAATATGGCAAGAGGAACTATTCCTCCCGGACTCTGGTGGGCGTCCATGTTCGTCGAGGGAATCTTATGAACAAGCATGAACGAGAATATGGTTACAAAGTTGCTACTCCAGGCTATATCAAGAAAGCTTTAGCATTTTTTACAGATAAATATAGACACGTTACCTTTGTTGTTTGCTCCAATGATATGAAATGGAGTCGGAACTACGTTAACGTTACTGACGTAATATATGTTGAAGGTAACCCGAGAGAAGTGGATCTCGCGTTACTCTCGTCTTTGAATCATACCATTTTGACAGTTGGTACATTTGGATGGTGGAGCGCCTGGATGGCGAATGGGACAACGTTATTTTTTAAAGACTACGCCAAAAATGGGACACGATTTGCGAAAGAATTTTCACCGGACCACAGTGATTATCTATACCCAGGTTGGATAGGAATGTGACTGCTAACATCTTTCAAATTTAGAAACATTGCCTTTGGTGTCTTTTTTACGTCGTGCACAACTCAGTAACTAAGATACGCTGAAACTGTGGTTGTTTACGGGAATAGCATTTACAAGGGGACCGCCCACTTGACTCGCTCGGCAGAAAACTAGTGTTTCCTATTTTTACGAAGTGATTTCCACGCAAGGTAAACCCAGAAATCGCTTTGAACAAAACTAAATTGTGAAATAAGATGAATAATTAGCAAATGGTATTGAAACACGTAGTTTAAAGTTTAAAATCACAACGGGAAATACAATGTGTCAAAAATGTGATAGAAGCAATAATTAACAGGCCCTACAATGCACTCACGAATGTTCAGAATTTTCATTGTCATATGTCTTGAAAGATGCTCGTGGCGGGCAGGAACTCAGTGTTTTCAGAAACGTATCTCATCCGCACTAGCCAAGTAAATAAGATCCAAGTCAGGTGGTTCCAGGGCCTCGAAACTCTCTCGTGTAGCTCTTATATAGGTAATGCCAACCTTCTAGAAAATGACAAATCGTCTCGAATGCTCAAGCTGGCATGTGTTTGTCAACAACCATGGGAGGTAACTCTAAATCGCAGTTCCTGTTACAATCTACAAAATCCTGAAGTTGAATATTAGTATTAGATTTCCGACAAGCCCTAAAAAATTGAAACTGTTTTATCAAAAATCTATTTCAATAAGTTGGCACCATCTGTGGGATGTGGCACTACCGGTTGACATATGTATACTCAGACCATCTGTAAAAGTCACCGTCGTAAAAGACGTGATGACGTGATTATGACACGTCTCCGACTTTGAAACTGTTGGCTAAATGCCTACCTGAGTACCATTCATTAGGCGATCTCTTCTTAATGTGGCCATTGCAATATGGAAACGCCTGAAAATGTGGAACACTACCTAATTAAATACTCTGGGCATAATAACATAAGACATAAAATCTCAGACGTGCTTGAAGTTGAGGTCACATTTCTTTTAGCTACAGTTTCGGGCCCCAATAACATGTATAGCTCCGTGCATCGGGCAGTTTTAGATTTTGTCTCTTCATCTGGAAAATATGATGTAATTTCTCAGATGACTTTAAATCGTATTAATATTTTATCATGTTGATCTACTGCTTCCTTATCGAACGAGTATTTCATGATTCAGAAATGAAAGTGTCTGCGTAAGGTTTTAATCAATATCATGAAGCAGGGGTTATTCTTCTCTTTTTTTCTTTTTCGCATTATTAATTTTCATGTGTAATGTATACGTGTATCCAAATGAATGATACTTTTGCTGACATCGCCTTTATTTTATCAATTCTATAAAAAATAGCAATTCCGTTTTGTTTTTGCAACATAATACGTTGTGATTCTTATTGAGTTAAATCAATGTGTTAGGCGCTAATAGGCCTTATGTAGGCCCACGTCGCCCTTAAACTACAACCCCAACAGAACCACCTCCTGTCACAGTCTGGCCAATACAGCACTTGATATTTTACGGGCGTTCCAGTCATTCGCTGCCACTGCAAATCACTACAAATAAGGGGGCACGGGTGGCCCAGTCGTCTAAGGCGCCGCGATTCGCTGTGCAGAGTTGCGTCGCTTGGGCACGCCAGAAACCTGTGATTGTGGGTTCGAATCCCGGTTCGCCCCGATATTGTTTCTAGGTTTGTCAGCACCATACCCGTGCTCGTGGGTTTCACCGAAGTGGTAAACGTCTTAGACCTGCATTACTTCGCCGCGATATGGAATACTGTTAAAAGCGGCGTTAAACCCAACTCGCTCACTACAAATAATGTGGGGTGAGGTCCAAGATTATTGCACTCATATAGCGATGTGTGTGTGTGTGTGTGTGTGTGTGTGTGTGTGTGTGTGTGTGTGTGTGTGTGTGTGTGTGTGTGTGTGTGTGTGTGTGTGTGTGTGTGTGTGTGTGTGTGTGGCTGCTTGTACTAGTCCGGACTGATGCCGATTTATAGTGCTAGCCCCTCTGAGATACCATGCCGCAGTTTAACATGAATACCCCACTCAGACACAGTATACTGACTCCGAGCCGATCAGTCCTTGTTTTAGCCCCTTAATGCCGAGCGCCAGACAGAGTAACAACAAGTACCATCTTTGAACGTCTTTTGGTATGACGCGGCCGGGGATCGAACCCCGGACCTTCCGCTCTCCGAGCGGACGCTCTACCACTATCTCCAGTGCCAAATAACACACATATAATAATGAAAGGTAAAGGGTCATCGATGAAAACAATCTTGCTAAATGGTTTTGTTCTTCAAGGATTCAATCTAAACTTGACTTACATTCAACAATGGTCAACTAAAACACAAAAGCCGACAATCAGAAATACAGACAGACAGAGAGACAATGTTTTCGGTAACAGCCACCTACTTCATGCATGCTGGAGTAAAATATATTACAGTTATTTTCTTGAAGAAAAGGTATTAGCTGTTTCTCAATTTGAAGGCATTTGCTGCGAACACACCCTTATTATGAAGGACAAGATTCTCATCTGTTAGCATTAGCTGTGTGAATGTTATAAAAGATGGATATTCAGTGTAATATGGAGAGACGTACTTTTCTACGTACTTTCCTTCTTGTAGTGGCATATGGTACACATATAAACATTCTATGGCATTCCTCTTCAATATATTTACAGCTTTTGGACAAACAGAAGTCATAGTATCTTTAACTATGGGGACTGCAATATGTGTCTTCCAAGCTCCGCGGGGCAGTCGTCTAAGGCGCCGCAATTCGCTGTGCAGAGTTGCGTTCCTTGGGCACGCCAGAAACCTATGGTTGTGGGTTCGAATCCCGGGTCGCCCCGATTATGTTTCTAGGTTTGTCAGCAGCATGCCAGTGCTCTTGGGTTTCACTGAAGTGGTAAAAGTCTAAGACCTGCATCAATTGGGGCTTTCCTCCCACATTAAGCTGACACGCCGTAATGTAACTGGAATACTGTTAAAAGCGGCGTTAAACCCAACTCACTCACTCAGTCTTAGTAGTGTGGGATGTGGGATGCCACTTGTTAAATCACGTTCTGTTGAACATAGATTTTAACTGAAAATAGTGATTACATTTCGAAGATTATTTCGTAGAAAAATTTCAGTTTTGATTGAGATTATTTGATAGTCTTTGCTGGGATTCATTAAGGAATAATGTGATGTCGCTGATTGCCTGTTGCATCCAGAACAGTCCAAAACCTCAACTAAACAAAATGTTTTGATTGATGTAAACCATGCCACGTTGTCCACATCATCAAATGACTTGAACATTATAAAGGGATGACGGGGTAATCTGGGAGAGTCAAGCTGAAGACGTCTACACCAATATCTCACTGTTCTTGTCATTTAGACAGCATTCAGAGGGAGCCACACACCCCAAGTACCCTATTATTAGGTGTATTCCTAGAGAGACGAAGATGCCTTTCATAGAAGCATATTGGGACATTTAATTTGTTGTGTATGTCCCCCAAACTTCAGCTTCATAACACATGATCGGACCGACAATACTGTCAAATATGTAAAAGACGTGTTTGAATGATATGTATCCATAATAAAATAAAACAAATTTTGACAGTTGTTTGTAGATCTGATTGATTTGTATGCTGGAGCTGTAAGACTACTGAGTTTGTTGCTCCACGCCATGAGGGTGAAAACCGTTCCTAAATATTTGTAAGTTTTTCACAACGTTAACCTTTTCTGCTTTTGAATACCATTTTGCGCTTTTCAATATTCCGCCTCGTCGAAACACAATAATTTTAGTTTTCTTTAAATTTACTTCCATTCCAGTGGATTCAGTGACATGTTTAAAAACGCTTATTTTCTTTTGTAGCAGCAATATTCTGCTGTAAAGCATAGTCCGCAACAGGCGATACATTGTCCATGTACAATAATACAAATAGATGTGGTATCTAACTACGGGGTAGTGAGTAGTGGTAGCCTAGTGGTTAAAGCGTTCGCTCGTCACGCCGAAGACTCGGGTTCGATTCCCGACATGGGTACAATGTGTGAAGCCCATTTGTGGTGTCTCCCGCCTTGATATTGCTGGAATATTGCTAAAAGCGGCTTAAAACCTCACTCACTCACTCACTCACTCACTCACTCACTCACAAACTCACTCACTCACTCACTCACTCACTCCGAATAAATATGCCCTGACTACCATTTTGTTCCAACATCACTGTCATTTCATTTGAAAAGATGATTTAAAGTTTTATGCTCAAATTACTTCCTGGCGGGTACCGACATCTACCGACTGGTAACCATGGAAAGTTTATTCCCATTTATTCCTATTCGATCTAAACTTTTGTGAAAGAACATCGTGGCTTACTCTGTCGAAAGCCATACAAAATGCAATAAAAATGCAGTAAAATCTACCCTTAATCTTGGCGATATATATTATATTTCTGAACAACAGCTTGAAGAATAAATGTTTTATCTATGGTGGAATATCCTGGTCAAAAACCTGTTTGTGTTTCACTAATGATATTGTTATTGTCACATCAGGACTGGATTAAGAGCCAACGATCATCTACTGTAAGACTAGCTCGTCCTAGACCCAATACGGGATTGTCTAGAGCTAGGATCAGCAACGGCCATCTGTAAGACTGCCTTACCTAGATTCAACAGGGATCTATTGTAAAACTGCCTTACCCTAGAGTCAACAAGGATCAGCTGTTAGTCTAGATTCAACAGGGGTCTACTGTAAGACTGCCTGACCCTTGATCAACAGGGATCTATTGTAAAACTGCCTTACTCTAGAGTCAACAAGGATCAGCTGTTAGCCTAGATTCAACAGGGGTCTACTGTAAGACTGCCTGACCCTTGATCAACAGGGGTCTACCGTAAGACTGCCTGACCCTTGATCAACAGGGGTCTACTGTAAGACTGCCTGACCCTTGATCAACAGGGGTCTACTGTAAGACTGCCTGACCCTTGATTAACAGGGGTCTACTGTAAGACTGCCTGACCCTTGATCAACAGGGGTCTACCGTAAGACTGCCTGACCCTTGATCAACAGGGGTCTACTGTAAGACTGCCTGACCCTTGATCAACAGGGGTCTACTGTAAGACTGCCTGACCCTTGATCAACAGGGGTCTACTGTAAGACTGCCTGACCCTTGATCAACAGGGGTCTACTGTAAGACTGCCTGACCCTTGATCAACAGGGGTCTACTGTAAGACTGCCTGACCCTTGATCAACAGGGGTCTACTGTAAGACTGCCTGACCCTTGATCAACAGGGGTCTACTGTAAGACTGCCTGACCCTTGATCAACAGGGGTCTACTGTAAAACTGTCTTAGCCTAGAGTCAACGGGGGTCTACTGTAAGTCTGCCTGACCCTTGATCAACAGGGGTCTACTGTAAAACTGTCTTAGCCTAGAGTCAACGGGGGTCTAATGTTCGACCCAGACCTAGAATCAACGCTGACATACTGTAAAACTGCACTGATCAAGAGTCAACAAGGTCTACTGTAGGACTGCCGAGACATGTGATCAACACTGGACTATTGTAACGCTGCCTTGACCAAGAATCAACAATGTAATGTAAGATTGCCTAGACATATAGACAACAAGTCCTACTGTAAGTTTGTCGAGATCTTGGACTACTGTATTAGACCAAGAGTCAACAAGATTCCCTAGGCCTTGAGTCATCAAGGCCTACCGTGAGACTGCCTCGACCTTGGGTCACCAAGGCCTACTGTGAGACTGCCTTGACCTTGGGTCATCAAGGCCTTCTGTGAGACTACCTCGACATTGGGTCACCAAGGCCTACTTTGAGACTGCCTCGACCTAGGGTCATCAAGGCCTACAGTGAGACTACTTCGACCTTGGGTCATCAAGGCCTACTGTGAGACTCCCTCGACCTAGGGTCATCAAGGCCTACTGTGAGACTGCCTCGACCTTGGGTCATCAAGGCCTACTGTGAGACTGCCTCGACCTAGGGTCATCAAGGCCTACTGTGAGACTGCCTCGACCTTGGGTCATCAAGGCCTACTGTGAGACTGCCTCGACATTGGGTCATCAAGGCCTAATGTGAGACTACCTCTACCTTGGGTCATCAAGGCCTACTGTGAGACTGCCTCGACCTTGGGTCATCAAGGCCTGCTGTGAGACTGCCTCGACATTGGGTCACCAAGGCCTTCTGTGAGACTACCTCTACCTTGGGTCATCAAGGCCTACTGTGAGACTGCCTCGACCTAGGGTCATCAAGGCCTACTGTGATACTGCCTCGACATTTGGTCATCAAGGCCTTCTGTGAGACTGCCTCGACCGTGGGTCATCAAGGCCTACTGTGAGATTGCCTCGACCGTGGGTCATCAAGCTATTGTGAAACTGCCTCGACCTAGGGTCATCAAGGACTACTGTGAGACTACCTCGACCTTAGGTCATAAAGGCCTGCTGTGAGACTGCCTCGACCTAGGGTCACCAAGGCCTACTGTGAGACTGCCTCGACCTAGGGTCATCAAGGCCTACTGTGAGACTGCCTTGACCTTGGGTCACCAAGGCCTACTGTGAGACTACCTCGACCTTGGGTCACCAAGGCCTACTGTGAGACAGCCTCGACCTTGGGTCACCAAGGCCTACTGTGAGATTGCCTCGACCTAGGGTTATCAAGGCCTACTGTGAGACTGCCTCGACCTTGGGTCATCAAGGCCTACTGTGAGACTGCCTCGACATTGGGTCATCAAGGCCTTCTGTGAGACTGCCTCGACATTGGGTCACCAAGGCCTTCTTTGAGACTACCTCGACCTTGGGCCACCAAGGCCTACTGTGAGACTGCCTCAACCTAGGGCCATCAAGGCCCACTGTGAGACTGCCTCAACCTAGGGTCAACAATATTCTTTTTAAGTCCATGTAAGCCGAGAGACAACAGGGCCAAACAAAATTGCGGAGACCTAGGTTCAACATGGTCTACTCTAAGATTCCCAGGGACCAACAGTCAACAAAAGTCTACAGTAAGAGTGTCCAGACGGAGAGTCAACAAGGGGCTATAAGACTTCCCTGACCAAGGGCCATTACTATTCTACTGTGACTTGTGAAGGAACTTGCTTTTGGTAGTCGTGTTATTTTGTTATATTATTGTAATACGGTCATATGTAAAAGTTGGAAATGTATGAATGTTCAGTATATTTGCACAGCCCTACCAGCTCCCTTGGGATCAGCGTATGTCTCATATTCACAAAGCGGCCTAACACTACGACGGTCGTAATTCAAATACCTTTACATAGACTTACGACAGTAATAGCACTTTGTGAATACGGGCCATGGTGTATATAAAGCATAAGACCATGGAGGTAAGTTTACTATACAAGGTTCACCACACCTGGGCCTACTTGTACAAAGCAACCTTAGCCCTAAGACTACCGTAAGCCTATGTTTAAGTATGGGAGTTACAATCATCTTAGCGCTAAGATTGCTTTATGCAAGAGGGCCCTGAGGTTAATCTACGATCACATTGAATGGAAAAGGAAAACAAAGTAAAAGTGCTCTTTTTCATGTTTACTGATATATGTTAAGATACGTTCACTCACTCATACAACAAACACAGTGGCAAGATAATGCAACAAATTCAAAATACAACAATTTGTCTGACAACCAGTCAGCTCCAGTGCATACCCGTATGCTGTCACGTGATCAACACAACCAGAGCACTGTCGGATATGTCGCTGTTTCAATATTACTTCAAAATTAATCAATGAAATGTTCCGTGACGTGAGATATACAGTCCCTATTCTTCATTCGCCAGTGCCATTCAGATCAACAACACCAAACAACACGTGTCCATGACGATAAGTCCCCTGCGGTATATACAATTACATCACTTTCTGTAGTTTTACGTTGCGATTCTTGAAGTAATATCAGCATTAAACAGCCAGCAATGAAACGCTCAGCTTCGTTAGAAGCATTCAATAACAATAAAATCTGTAACAGCAAAATAAGCAATTAATAATATGAGCTTTCTGGGACAGGAATATGGTAAGGCGACGCTTCCGTTTTCAAGGGCGCTAAGTCGGCATAGTTGCTGTGTTGGGCGGGAAGTGCATAGTTTATCTCCCCTGATTTATAGGACGCCATGTCTCTGTCTTCGTATAAAGCTACATTATTTGAAGTGTGACGTTCCTCATCGTCCAAGCGGAAATCGTGTCTGGCTCTAGAATGGGAAGGCATGTCGTCAGGATCATTCACGCGCCTTCTCTTGGCCGGGTTGATGGGGTTGATGTCGTTGTCGTGGTCCCCTGATGGAGTGTCCAGAGACTGCAGGAGCGCTGGCCCCGGGTACATGGAGTGCCCGCTTTCAAGGCCGTTCAGGACGTAGGAGTTGGGTATATACCTATTACCACTGTCGTTCTTTGCACAGGAGTCGTTATGTTGAAGGAATCCTTGGGGTTGATATTCTGGCTGAGCACTGTTGCTATCACGGTACTGATAAACACTGTAGTCGGGAATGTGCTGATTTCTACCGTAAACGACAGGGGGCGCTACGGGGTAGGACTGCCCACTGTACGAGGAATATGGTCGTTGGGAGCTGCTTCCGTATGAGGTTGGGGGCTGTCCCACCATGTATCCGAGGGGGTATGGCATGGATGGATGTTCTTTGGTGATGTAAGAATCTCTTGCAGGGGGCGATGGCGTCCTTTCGGTAGATCGGAACATGGCCGAGCTGGAAATGAAGCAAATAAATTTTATTAGTAAAATTATATGCCACAACTAAACATATATGTACAAGATGACATTGGACCAACGATACATAGTTTATAAGACCTGGCACCAGTCCCTAAATTGATTATAACAAGTCATGCTGTTGCACCTATATTTTGAAAAAGTATACCCTTCCTTATAACTAGTATCACCCCTAGACATATGCGTATATGGATGACAACTAGTCATGCTGTTGCAAATTTATTTTGAAAAAGTATACCCATCCTAATAACCGTTGTCACCCCTAGACATATGGATATATTGATGGCAATACGTATAAGCATGGGGATATGTAATTATATCGGATAAGGAAATGTGGAGGTTATGCGAGGTATATAAGGGGTTTTTTTCATAAAGGATAAACAAGGTATTACAGTTCTGATGTCAATGCGTCATAATTTGTATCACTTTGGGTAAAACTCAGAACTTCAGAGTGTATCCATGGCAACAATTACCTGTCATAGTTGTCCCGGAATCCCTTTGCAAACGGATTGTGGTCAATCTTTAGTTGAGTTATCTGTTGAAATATAATAACCGATTAGTACACATGAAGGACACGTTAAAGATTTCCTAAATAATAATTCTTACAATAATCTAAGGTTCGGATTCTGATAATTATAATAAGAAAATAATTGTCTTACAATATTTCAATTACAAATGAGATAGACTTACGTCGGTGTTCTGGTAGGCAGTAACGGAGATAAACTGAGTTTCCGGGAAACTGTGTGTCAGCAACGTTTTCTGTTCTCCGGGGGCGCATGCGCCTACTTCGATGACGTGAAGACGAGGCTGGTACTTGTGCATGGAGTTTAACACAATCTGTAAACATGGATCACATAAGTCAAAATACAACGAGAATAAAAGTGTAAACAATGTGATGAACAGGTGGTTGAATTAATACAAACAGAACCATGTATTGTATATTGCAGTGAATATGCATTAATTTCAACGGATTTTTTTAAAGAGGTGCGGCGGTAGGATAGCCTAGTAATTGAAGCCTTAGCTCGCCACGTCGAAAGCCAGGGTTCGATTCCATTCATAGGTACAGTATGTGAAGCCTATTTCTGGTATCTCGCGCCGTGATTTTGCAGGGATATTTCCGAAAGCGGCGTAAAACCACATTCACTCACTTAAACCATGTATTCTGCCATAATGACTAAACATTTCCCCGTACAATGATGTATTATATATCACTGAAAATAAGATTTGCATTTATTCAAAGCACGTTAATGATCAAATATTCTAGCAAGAAAATCAGAATATAGGTATCTGTCAAATTGTTGTAATGTTTTGTTTCTTCAGATGCTCTATGTTCTGTAAATAAAAATATGTTTACAACACTTCCACCAAAGACAATACTTACGTGTGATTGGTCCGTATTTTTGTTATTAGTCAGCTTAAGTTTCCCGAACACGATGTCCTGTTTCATCCAATGGGAGCCTCTGTTAGGAGAGTCGGGGTGAAGGTACACGCGGCCGGCTGGAGGGGAAATAATCTACGTTACACATTTGAAAAAATGTATAATTGCTTGAAATACAAACACTTACAATAAATAATTAAACAGTATTTAGTGACTGGTCATTTATTTTATGAGGGGATGTGCATAAAAAGTGTTGAAATGTATTGAGGGCATGAAAAAAAATATCACAAAAAATGGAAGGGAGTCACCACTCCTAACAAAGTTCTGAACATTCTCAGACGAAGCACCTGCTGACTTTGTTGATAACACATTCGTTAGGGCAGGAACACTCAAGCTTGGAGTGACGTATATACAGCGCGAGTTACCTAGCAACAATGGAAATGAATTGCCAACCGCACAGAACTATACTTAAAAACTTGTGTATAATGTCTGTCGCCATTTTCGCGAGTGTTTCTAAGCATATTGAATGTCACAATGTCTTAAAATGCATTCTATCACCAATAAAATCTCAGTTTATGCACATTTCACATTGAGCAGTAACTTTCACAATGAACTACGCTGTTTTCATGTCGGCACTATGTTAGCTTTCAGAAGCGTATCATTTACTTGTGTCGTCACAGCAGTAGAATGTTATTTGTTCGGCATTAACTATGGCAACGTATTAGCGCCACACTGTAGAATAATATTATCTATGTAGATGATACATATGTTTTGGAAAAATAAGGAAAAGGCCAAATGAAAGTAAACAACCAACGTGCTTCCAAACATTTAATTAAATTAACAGTAATTAAATACATGTAATCACCTTTATTTGAAATATAAAAGTTCGTATAAACAAGAAACTAACCAGGGTCTCAACTTCATAAGACAGTATCACTGTATGGGTAACCTTGACATTATGATATCACATACATAGATGAATTTATTTTTTTTAGAATGTGGCACTAATACGCTTCCATAATTATCGCAGTACAACAGCAGCGGTAAAACCCCGCTCTATTTGATGTGTCCTGGTCCAGTCAGTTATAATAATTAGTGCGCTAATAACAAAAGCATCAACTGCAGCCCAATCGTTATTAATTTCAAATATAGTTCTGATCTCACAACGTCAAACAAATCTACTCCACGGCACCGTCAGAGCTAGATGCAAATAGAGCCTACGTTACGAGGCTATATTACATCACTCTCCTAATTAGCTCATCACGGTAGTATTAATCATTATCGGACAATTGTTACGTAGCGTCGAGAGACAGTAAGGTTATGCAAATCCACGTCTCCTTAATACGTCCGTCTATTCGAAGGTGTGGGTAGCTGGTAACTCCTGAAGGAAACCTTCAACAGTTTGGTCAGCCACGCGCATTAATTAGGCTACCTCTGTACAGAATAATTAGACCAGACCTTCAAAAATATCAGAGATCAAGTCTTCATTCAGACAACTGAACTTAAGGTTACATATTCCTATATTATTCCTCATATATCCATGTTGTACTCACTAGGAACTATTACAGAATATATCCGTGGTATACTTTTGGCAGCAGGTGCGCTCGGAGGGTTAATGTCACATGTTCAGAAGGGTTAATAGAAGTGATAATTGGCGGTAAGTGACCTGCAGATTGAACCGAAGTATAGTTAAGGAATATTGCTGTTCGACTGACTAATCCCCTCCAGTGGACAATGGGTACTTGGTGGAAGCATGACGAACGTCAGATAACCTTCATTATTCCGACTCTAATTGACGATCATTTCTGGGAAGACCAATGCCCACTGCCTATCATCTTTTGTTCAATGTGTAAACAACATGGCCGACATATTGTCGTCTGCCAAAACATTCACTGCGGGGTTCCTCCTGCATGGTCGTCAGATGTTTTGGCAGACGATATGTCGATTCAGAAATGGTCTCAAGGTACGATAAACATTAGAACTTAAACTTTTGTTACATGGCGGTAGGTGGACTAAATTAGTCAAAGGCAGCATCCCGGCGGTAACCACCCCCCGAGACCTCTTACTGCGACCCCTGCCAAACTGCGAACACTTACCAGACAGCGTAGCTAGCCAGCTAATAACAAAAAAATACTATTCACCCTGGGACTAATAATAGTTTATGGGATTGTCTGGACATGTATCCCTCGACGGAGGCTGTTTTTTGTTGTGGTGGGGTCACTGTATTTTTGTTAGCCGCGAGTTGTGTACGAAGAAGAAACGTTACATGGTACTCTACGTTTACATGTGATAGTAACATCTGAATCGTTGTCGACACGATGCCATAGATATCTTTTTATGAAATTTGAGCCCTATTTTATTACCTTATTTACCCTTCAACAAAATAATAACTGTGGTTGGCATAAACGTAAAATATGGGTCACTGTATTTTTGTTAGCCGCGAGTTGTGTACGAAGAAGAAACGTTACATGTTACTCTACGTTTACATGTGATAGTAACATCTGAATCGTTGTCGACACGATGCCATAGATATCTTTTTTTATGAAATTTGAGCCCTATTTTATTACCTTATTTACCCTTCAACAAAATAATAACTGTGGTTGGCATAAACGTAAAATATGTTTTTCCAAAAAAAACATGTTTCAAGCCTGTCTGAAATTTAGACGGTAGGATGGGAAATTTTGATATTCAATATATATGTAAACGTTAACAAATTTGCCGGTTTCAAAAACATTATGCCGAAAAAATTAAGTTAAAATAGATATAACGTATTGTTCTTATTGCATTTGAATTGAATGCAATAATAATATTTCATGAGACAGAACTTACTTGTTGGTAGTTGTTCTGCTTGTCCACACGCCACCCAGCGGCCGTTTTGGAACTTCCAGTGGTTGGGATCGGCGAGGATCATGTCGACGAAGACGTTATACTGCTTAGAGGGGTCAAGGCCGGCCAGACTGTATTGAAGAGTCGGGAACATTCGCCTGCAGAGCACAGATTACAATATTGCTTTTTATTAAGGCTCCGACAACAGATTGTTTAAAAACAATCAAATAATATTGAAGCGAAACTTATGCCCCAAAAGTAGTTCGTCCCTGTAGAAATATTGAAAATCGTCCATAATTTGTGTAGGAATGTTCAAAACGGCGAATTGTATTTAGTTACAACAACGAAAATTGATTGTTGTAATAGTCAAACAGTTCTTGTGGCAATTTAAATCATCCTTAAACCGAAAAAGTCCACATATTGATCAAAAACATAAGAAGAGCTTGTGACTGCTTACCCTAGACATTTTTTATAAGAATTTGGTTGTTTGAACATATTTTACGAGTATTCGGAAGCGATTATTGGAAAATGACCAATTTCAAATACAAATATAAATTGATAGTTTGATTAGAAATGTAACAATCCAACAGTTAATTGACATCAAGGTCGTGCGCTCACACCTCCTTTAATCCTTGAACAAACAGCACCTTGAGAAAACAGTGCCGCCAATTTAAGCAAGTTCAGCTCCCGACGAAACCAATTAAACCATCTTTTATCTTAATTACGACAGGTGATATGTTTGTTTAAGGCACACGACAAAGAAGTTTTCGGCCAGGTATCTTAATTGTCTGTCAACAGATAGATTGGCATCGTCTTGCACCTCTCTAAAATCGTGTATAAACATTGAGACGCAATAGATGATAGTAATAACATTCAATCAGCTTGGTGAAGGATGAAATATACCATCGTTAATAACAAACAACTTTGATGATTTGCTGAGAGTAAACGATTTTTTACGTCAAAACCTAAATTATTTGTACTTTTGCGCAAAAGTATCAATGAGGAGTTAAATTCATTATAACAAACAAAAGTTGAAATATACATGTAGTAAGTGTCATGTAGAACTTTCATGAACAATAAACAGTCCATTTTCAAGTGAAAAGACGCATGATTTTATAACCTAAATATTTGTCATTAAGTTTAAACAATCCCAATTTTAATCAAATGAAACGGTGAAGACAGTTCTTGGATATACCCGGTGGTGGAGTAGGGCGATTAACTTTGTTTTCACAATAATTAATAAACATTTCCAAAGACAACTGTAATGATATAGCGCTTTCTCTGTCGGTGAATCAGACGAAATTCTCTAATCGGTTGTTTTCACGACAATTTATGGCCAAATAGTTCTCCGTATGTACCTGCTTGTGTCTTTGTAATGAATCGGTACCAATAAAACCAATTCCCTTGTTTCTTTCCTCGTTAATGACTTTTTGACAGAACATTCCTATGATTATGGAAGGGGTTTTTTCGCTTTTATTTACAAAATATATGTTTTACGTTAATGTACATTCAGAAAGTAGTTTCTGAATTGCTAAATCAGAAACTAAACTTGAAACTAAAATACTTTAATGCGGCAACAATTCGATTGTTTCACATAACATGTTTCGATGTGAACTAGTTTTAACTGTTTGATTCTAATAGCATTTGTTTGTTTTTGTCGAAAGTAGGGACATTTTCAGTGACAAAAATAGCCCTAACAAAGCCCTAACAAATTTTAAAACATCATTTTCACAGGTAAAAAATGGTATAGATGATAAAAATAATTATCACACTATGCGCTATTCATCGAGCTATTGTGATATCACACAACAAGAAACTAATAAAAAATCCCATCTAAGTAAGCAAGAGAACAATATATATATACTTGTATATTTATATTTAGTCCATGCGGTAAAATATGTATTTTCTTCTTACCATTAGGACAATTTTACATTAAATTTCTTCTTTCGAAATACCCGTAAATATATATATTTGAAATAGAAAAAAGGTAGTGAAAGTGCAAAGAAGGCTTAAGTTCAAAGAACATAATTATACACCGAACAATTTCTGATTTTTCTGATTGAAATTAATCGTATTTCGGAATAAGTATGTGTGTTCATTTACCTTCCCTGCTTCGTGATGATCATCTCCGTGGTATGCGTGTTGAACTTGAGCCACAACTCTCGGTTACACAGGTACACGCACGCCTTGCCAGACTGTCCTCCGTGGGTGGGGTCAATCAGGGTGGGAGACTCAGGGACAGGGAGCTCTTGAGGTGGAGAATCCACCCTTGAATAAAGCCCCTCACTTTCCACGGTGGAAGAGTAGGGCTGGTGGTAGGGTTTCATGTACGGGTAGCGTCCCTGAAGGCTGTCGGAAGGATGGTAGGGAGCCATGGAATCTCGAGAAGAATCATGGTCGTAGTGGGACTGAGGGTGGTCATAAGCGGGTTGAGGAATATCAAAGTGGGGTGGACCCGCTGGGGAGTGGTCGTAGTGGGCCGGCTGGAGGGATGTGTAGTTGGTGGCGGAATTTGGGGGTGAGTAGCCGTCTGTGTCCTGACTTTCCGAGTTGTCATCCCTGCTTGCAGAGTCTGGACTCTGGTGTCCGTAGGTGCCCTGCTGCCTCTGGGTACTTCCCTGACTACAGTAGAAGGACTTGAGGCCCTCCAGAGCCGTGAACGTGCCACCACTGACGTCGTTGTAATACGGCTTTTCTCTCCTTGTTTCAGCACAGGGTGCAAAGTCTGACGAATTTGTCACCTCGCAAGATACAGGTTCTGTGCGAAGCATCTCTGTCACTTTGGCTAGTGGAATAAACAATAAGTTGTTGAAGTGCGGATGGGTTGAAACACGCGTTTGCTCCTGTTCAAGTCTTTCTCACCTTGTTCCGAGTGATGTGATCAACAGTGACGATCAGTTCAAGTGGCTTTTCATCAGACCGGCATGAGACTTTAAACCTCCTTACTTCAATGTACTGACAAATTAGACATGTAAGCTCAGTTTATGAACAATGCCAAGAAAGATCACTGTAAAAGCGCCCTGCCTCTGTGCCCGATTAACGCGTTCTGATTGGTCGCCTGCCCGATGACGCAATGCAAGCGCTTGGATGTCAGGTGACTGACAGCGAGAAACAACCGTTCATCGGTGACAGGTGATCGGTTGAACTGATCTTGGGAAATGACAAAATGATTTTTGTTCAGTGGCCATGCCAGTGGCATCAATCTTGGATGTTTTCTTTGAGAAGAATTTTACCCCCCACCCCCCCCCAAAAAAATATGTAATTTCAATATTAAATAATATGTTGGCTTCTAAAAATCGAGGAAGAAAAATATGTACAACGTAAAATACATGCTTTACACGCGGCCAGGTGCGAATGCGCCAGCAATGTTTATAAGCATCATTGTGATTGATGTCCGACATACATGGTCTAGATTCAAGAAGCGTATAATCGGCGCAAGAGTTTCAGCTGGGTGTAATTGGGCCTTCGCAAAAGTTACAGAACACACCAATACAGACAGAATTACACGTTCTGATTTAAACGCATCGCATGATCCCGCTAATATTTTAATTCGCTAAAAAAAAATCAATAAATGATTACATTATTGTAAAGTTGAGCGAGCTCCTCATTTTTCTATAACACGAAGTATCATACAAAATACATTATGAAGTCTCAGCAATGTTGAAAAGTTACCGAGGTTTTTAAATAAAACCCTTTTGCATCTTATGATGAGCATAAACACTCGTGTGTCAATAACTGAATGTGAGTATACATGTACTTTGTCATCCCTGCCAATCCGTATAAGGACGAAAAGACATCGACAAGGAAGGCACATCGACCCTCAATACAGAAACACATCTAAAATGCATAGTTGATTTTGACCCTTACGTAACAAATGACTGGCAGCTTACGTCCAGGTATGACAACGTGAATGAGGATTCAAACATTATTGTAATGTCTCAAGCCTTCAGACCTCACTACCACATACCAATTTCTTTGTTTTCTGTCAGTTCGCTGAATAATATTTCCCTCCACTACACGTTTTCATAGTGTGTCAGTTTACTACATGTGCCTGTAGTATATAACACTGCATATCAATAGTGCTGTATGTGCGGCATAAACTGTTGTTATGTTACTATTAGGCTTAAGTTCACCAGCCTGTCATCCAACATGCACAAACACACCAGTCAGTGTAACGTACGCCGATAGCGATGTTTACAACAACAGCTATATAGTCCAGGCACCTTAAGTTTGAACACTGTGAAACATACCCTGATAGAAATATCTAAACCATAGCTATATACTGCAGGCACCTTAAGTTTGAACACTGTGTAACATACCCTGAAAGAGATATCTAAACCATAGCTATATACTGCAGGCACCTTAAGTTTGAATACTGTGTAACATACCATGATAGAGATATCTAAACCATAGCTATATACTGCAGGTACCGTACGTTTGAACACTGTGTGACATACCCTGATAGAGATATCTAAACCATAGCTATATACTGCAGGCACCTTACGTTTGAACACTGTGTAACATACCCTGACAGAAATATCTAAACCATAGCTATATACTGCAGGCACCTTAAGTTTGAACATTGTGTGACATACCCTGAAAGAGATATCTAAACCATAGCTATATACTGCAGGCACCTTAAGTCTGAACATTGTGTGACATACCCTGATAGAGATATCTAAACCATAGCTATATACTGCAGGCACCTTAAGTTTGAACACTGTGTAACATACCCTGATAGAGATATCTAAACCATAGCTATATACTGCAGGCACCTTAAGTTTGAACACTGTGTAACATACCCTGTATAGAGATATCTAAACCATAGCTATATACTGCAGGCACCTTAAGTTTGAACACTGTGTAACATACCCTGATAGAGATATCTAAACCATAGCTATATACTGCAGGCACCTTAAGTTTGAACACTGTGTAACATACCCTGATGGAGATATCTAAACCATAGCTATATACTGCAGGCACCTTAAGTTTGAACACTGTGTAACATACCCTGTATAGAGATATCTAAACCATAGCTATATACTGCAGGCACCTTAAGTTTGAACACTGTGTAACATACCCTGATAGAGATATCTAAACCATAGCTATATACTGCAGGCACCTTAAGTTTGAACACTGTGTAACATACCCTGATAGAAATATCTAAACCATAGCTATATACTGCAGGCAGCTTAAGTTTGAACACTGTGTAACATACCCTGATAGAGATATCTAAACCATAGCTATATACTGCAGGCACCTTAAGTTTGAACACTGTGTGACATACCCTGATAGAGATATTTAAACCATAGCTATATACTGCAGGCACCTTAAGTCTGAACACTGTGTAACATACCCTGACAGAAATATCTAAACCATAGCTATATACTGCAGGCACCTTAAGTTTGAACACTGTGTAACATACCCTGATAGAGATATCTAAACCATAGCTATATACTGTAGGCACCTTAAGTTTCAATACTGTAGGATATCAAATAATGTTGGTGGCTGTATGACCCTGTGTTGATAGTGAACAGCTAGGAGACTTTTCACAATATTTGAGCTCATACTCCAAGTGGGATCACAAGATAGAAGCGACAAAACCCTTTCCATATTCGTAAGAAATCTCTGCCAAAAGCAGAGTCGATTGTACAATTCCGACCATATCATGAGCAAGCGTCCATGAATCACCATCAAATAGTGATGGAACCAGGTGTTCGGGAAAAGTTTGGGTGACTGTGAAACCAGTGCCTGACACTGTTGATGCGACTGCGACTGCGATGCTGTGCAAAACTATGTCCCGTTCATGTTGAACTTATTCTGAGAACCACCGAACATAATGCCATTAATACGAATATTGTTGACGATATTGATCACACTAGTAACACTTCTAACAACGGGATTCCTAAACACCCCAAAATCACCATCATAATGTGAATACACTGCCACTAAGCTTACCTGAAGATAATATCAATGCTACTGACAGTTGTTAAATAATTTGCACTTTCTTATTCTGAATGTGTGCGGAATAATGAAACAATAAGAACGCCCAGAATTCATGGATCTACTTGAGAACAACTTTATCATAGGTTTCCAAGCAGCTAAAAAGATGTATTTGATGCATACATATTGATGGCCTTTCTGTTTAACATAGGAGTAGCGCTTTGAGAAGAACAAGAGCTATCGCAGAAAAATATGCACAGCATGCACATACCTTGAGGAATATGTATAAGTATTTTCTGGATCAAAATGTCAAATGCGCTATTTGACATTAAGCAAGGTCTTTATTTTGGAGTTGTGTACATTCCACCAGAAAGTTCAAAATATTACACCTATATTACACACTGTCTCTTTGAGTTATTGTGCTGTATTGATGGTCGATTTCAACTCTAAAACAAGACATCTGTGTGTCTATTGAACCACAGAAAAACATGTCCTTGAAGAGTTGGATATAGATATAATTGATTTGAGATTTGAAATATAGAAATAATTCAGGTGCAAAATCAATAGAATTATGCTCGAATTTGGACTTATTTCCTTGCAACGGTCGTATTGGACAAGATACTCTGGGAAGACTACTTTTCTTGACAAGAGTATTATCGACTATGTAATCTCATCGACATCACTCATGTCATACATGCGTGTGGAGATGTTATTTTGTCACTGAGAATCTTTATGCATAGGTCTAAACATGAAAGAGACGAGGCGGTTTCACTTGTCTCCTTTATTTCTAGTTTTGGTGGATAAATCAGTGGAGAGCATATTGTTTTGCTCGGCTCTAGCAATATTCCAGCTATATCACGGCGGGGGACACCAGAAATGGACTACACACAGTGTACCCATGTGGGGGAATCGAACCTTGGTCTTCGGCGTGACGAGCGAACACTTTAATCACCAGGCTACCCCACCGCGCCCGTAAATCAGTAAATGGGAATTGGATATTTGATGGTTATTAAACGATATCAGATAATCGATGCATATCCTGAAGCTTACGTTAAACTTCTTGGCCAAATTACATTGTCGTGATTTTTCCAATCCTCGCATGAATTCCGATTCCTATGCAAAAAGCAACAGATCAGCAAGACGGGGAGCACTATTGGTGCCCGTGGGGCTGCCTACGTCTTAGTCCTAAATGTTATGTACAGATGTCATGTACGAGGAAGTCCAGCATTTCACATACCGTTTTCTCAGTGAACTCCAGATGGCATTTGCTTTTATTTCTCCACAAATTGTCCCGAACCTCTTGAGATAGATATGTAACTATATCTATGGGTACCACGGTTTTTTTTATAAATGCCCCATATATCATTGAATTAAGTTTTCCCTGGAGTTGGTCACGTTGGATAGTAGAGTACAAAGTTGAAAAATCAGATGTTTTGATAGAATTTTATTTGGTACTTCCCCGAGACTGCAAAATATAAAGGAAATCCTTTGAGGTTTTGAGAATCCTCATGAAATTAATTCTACTTGTCTCAAATACTTTCTGCTGCGATATAAAACGCATCGAGGCTTAGAACTAATTTCTCAGCAGCCTACTGTTGACGGAGCTCATGTTCATGGAAAAGACAGACAGTTTATTCAGTAACTTAGGCATCAAGGCCCATAGTACAAAGCAGATTGGATCTTAACATTTGTCATGTGATGTACATGATACGATTTTTATCAAGTTACACATTGCTCATCTTAAAGACATGTTTTAAGAATACAGAAACAGCATGGATCATATCAGGATTTTCAGAGTTTAGCAGATTAATGATTAACTGACGATAAAAATACCTTGCAACATGGGGAGAAATGTATACCTTAAATGGGGATACGTTTCACATATAAGTAAGACATGGTATTCATCCTCTACTTCTCCAGATGAACAGTTTGTACAAATAGAGTTCACAATATCACCGTCTTTGGACATTTGACATACATTTACATTAAAATTGTGCAATGATATGAGTATCTAT